GGATCGAGCTGCGGCGCTGATGAAGGGTCCTTCCCCACATGCTGCCGGGCCGGGGGTGCTGTACCCACCGGCCCGGGTGTGGGGTGAGGCGGGCGGTGGGGCTCTGGGAGCTGGCGCGCTCTGTTTGTTTAGCGGGTGGCCCGTCTGGTTGTGTTCCTTCTCGGCCCAAGGGTAAGGGCCTGGTGGGGCCGCGAAGGCAGCACTGGTTGCTGGACGCAGCTTGGCAGTCCCCTAGCAGCGTAGATTGGGGAGGGGCTGTAGCCCATGGCAGGGGCTGGCGCCCAGGGGCCCATCTGTGGCTGCCTTGTCTTGGCCACCTTGGCACAGGCCTGATGGGGTGTACCCAGGTGCCGGGTGCTGTGTGGGGACCCCATAGATGGGCTTGGGAAGGTGGCTGGGGTCCTGCCCTGGGGAGCAGGTGCTCTCCTGGCTCTTTCCACCCAGGTGCTGCCCCGGCGCACGCTCCCCCGTCCCACCAGCCCAGTGCTTGGTGCAGACCAGTGCAAGCGGCGGCTCCCAGTGCTGTATAGTGGGGTGCCCCCCTTTCCACCCTAGGGGCGTTTGCTGCCTTTTCCGCAAGGGGAAATCTCTCGCCAGCCCCTCTGCCCAGCTCCAGCTCCCCCAGGGGCCGTGGCGTTTGGGGGCAGCCCCGCAGGGTCTGTCCGTGCATCTAGGCCGGGTGGGGGAAGTCCGGCCTTGCTGCTCCGGAGAAGGGAGCACTAGGCCGGAGGCTGCTCCTCTCCTTTCCTCTCTGGCAGGAGTGACTCATGCGTGGAGTTTCACCGACAGGTCGGGGCAGCGGTAGTGCGGGGAGGCCACATGGCTCGGGCGGGGGTGGGGTTTCGGGCGCTCCCGGCTGCTCCGTCTGCTTGTGTGTGTCTCCGTCTCGGTGCCTCTGCACTGCAGCAGACTGCGATCCGATCCGACACCGCGCTCCTGCCGCCAGGGGGGCGGGGGGCTCTGCCCGGCCGTGCCCATGTTAGGTGCGCGGGGCTCTCCCCGGCGCGGCCCGGCCGGCGGCTTTGCAGCCTCATGGTGTTTCTCTCCTCTCTCTCTCCCCTCCTCACTCTCTCTCTTGAAGCCAGTCGGATGCACGGTCTCTGCAGGCCCGCTCAGCTGGCCCGAGTCTTTCCCGTGGGGGGGTGAGTATGGCCTCGCCCCGTGGCGTGGGGGGGCGGTGGCAGGTCTGGGATCTGCGTGCCTGGTGGGGGAGGGGTCGCGGCTGTCTGGGTGCCAGCAGGGGGCTCGGAGCGGTGCTACAGAGGCAGGATCTCTGCTGGGCTCCAAAGTCCCTTCTTCCAGCAGCAGGCTTGTGCAACCAGCAGTGAATACACCCCCCACCCCCCACGTCCGCCTGCCTGGGCGAGGGCTGGAGCCTGGGCACGCACGCCGGGCGCCCCGCCAGCCTGTGGGCATGCACACCAGGCGCCCTGCCAGGGAGCCCTGCCCCAGGCACGCGGGGGAGGGGCTGGGGAGTTGGGGCAGGG